TCAAGGCTCAGGGGTCCAAGATTATCTTCTGTGTCTGTGTTAATTGGCTTCCCTTTTCTTTGTTGAAGAGGGTCTGTGCAGTCCTTCTGCCTAGTCCACAATCTTGCCGGAACTCATGAGAGTTGGTTTTCTTCTTCCTTTTCTGAGGTCTTCACTTCAACTTGTAAAAATGAAGTATGTTTACTTACATCTTCTTGTAGGTAAAAATTCAAGCTAATTTTCATGTATATGTAACTGGAAGAGCTATGATTTTTCTTCGATGGGAGTGAGACTAGAATTTGTTCTATGGAAAGCCAACTCTGAATAAAATAAAATCAGGGGTCCAAGATTATCTTCTGTGTCTGTGTTAATTGGTTTCCCTTTTCTTTGTTGAAGAGCATCTGTGCAGTCCTTCTGCCTAGTCCACCATCTTGCCCCCTAACTTTCTTTTTAAATGTTCTCTGTTCTCTGCTTCAGCAGAGTAGGAGCTGGTCTATTTCCTATTGTCACAGATCTTTCCTCCCACTGGGGCACTTCTTCCCTCCCTTCCTTTAGTTCTTTCCTTATTTAAACTAATTTTACACCACTAACTTTTAAACGCCTACTCTCAAAATGTTTTCAAAATATCACTATTTCTTAAAAACTTCTGGATATTCCCAACAAAATACAATAAATTCTACTCCTACCATTTTAGTTAAAAACAAAATCTAGTGGAATTCTACTAAATAATTTTATTTACTAAAAAAAAACACACATGCTGTTGAGTCGGATCCGACTCATAGTGACCCCTCCTTGGGCTTCCGAGGTGGCATCACTACGGAAATAGATTGCCCAACCTTCCTTCCGAGGAGTGGTGGGCTTGAACTGCCAGACTTCTGGTTAGTAGTCAAATGCCTTATAATTGAAGATGTAAAGAGAAAGAAATTTATATATTTACAGCTAACTTAGACTTCAAGGTTGGGGTAAGAATCCAAAACCACTAAATCCACTGCCATCAAGTCGATTCCAACTCATAGCAACCTTGTAAGGACAGGAGAACTTCTCCATAGGGTTTCCAAGGCTGTAAATCCTTATAGAAGCAGACTGCCGCATCTTTCTCCCAGGGAGCGGCTGGTGGTTTTGAAGTACCAATCTTTCAGTTAGTAGTCAAACCACTTCAACCACTGTGCCACCAGAGGTCGTTGGGGTAGGGATATTTCTTATTTATTAATCATGTGTGTGTTTGTGTGTGTGCACATTTAATTTTAAGTAAAATCTTAATAGTGGTTAGCTTTTGTGAAATTATAAGCAAATTTCATTTTCTCTGGTACTTATTGATAGTATCGAATTTTCTACAAATACAACTTACTTTTATAAACAGAAAAAAAACATAAACATTTTTTTAATGTGAACATGTTCTCAGCATGAAAAGTATTTCTTCACTTAGCCATTATCTGAATTTTATCTAAACAGGAACTCTATATGGGATGATTGTGGAAGAATCAAGAATGTGGCCAATCTCTTTCCACTTACAAGTAAGGTAATAACATCCAAATGAGAGAAAGCAATGATCTTTCCTTTCTCTAGAACACAGGAGCTAAAACTCGACTAAGT